CTTGGATTCTTCCGTATACCCGGCTGAGCTGCAAGCCCGGGCCTTCATGATCCAGTCACAGTGATCGAACTGCCCCAAGAAGTGCCAGATCTTCAGGATCTGCAGCAGCACAAAAGACCAGCAAGACGGATTCTCCACCCAAACTGGCCCAGTGATGTTTCGGACTTGATGTCTGAATGGCAGGAGCATGTCTGCTTGGATTCCATGGATTCCGATCCATCGGGGGTTCACCGCATTCGGAAGGACAGACAAGGGGGGGCCCGAGGCAAAGCATGGGAAGGTGGGGCATGATCGTGGTTTTTGTGGCGTTCCATCCAAAGGATCTTCTTTTACCTCTTCATCCGAAGATGGTGACTTCAGAGTTTCTTCTCCGAAGATGACTACTGTAGTCATCATGCGGTCGTCGCAATCCCAAGAACGAAGCCGTAGCCCCAGAACGTTCAGGCTTGTGTCTAATTCTCTAAGAGACTGCATAGCCTCAGAATGCGTGCAACTTGCCGGCCCTTCGCAAAACCAATGCAAGCAAGTCTGCACCAGATGAATTCCTGAGAGACGTTCCACAACCCTCCCACGGAAGATATCTCACCCTGCGGCTCGTCATAACTTGGCTCCCGGCCCGGACAGGTAGCCGCTTGTAGTCGACCTCCAAATCGCCGGGCACGTGAAGCGTGTAGGGCTCCAAAGGCGTCCTGCCAGTACTGAAAACCGCGCCGGTGCGGTGCAGGCAGGCTCGGAGGGAGCAGGCTCAGAGGCGTCTTCGAAAGATGAACACCGGAGATGTTCCTGCTGTTAGATGAGAAGATGATACCCCTTCTGCTCCTTCTGCCCGGTTCAGAGCCGTGGCTCAGAGAACTTAACGGTTCCCCTTCAGGGGAAGGAAAGGAGGTACCAAAACAACACGGAATGGTCAGCTTTCAGTCCTTGGTCCTTGGAACCCGCCCATTGGCCCATCAACTGGTTTGATGTTTCAGCTGGTACCGGCACCAGAGAAGCCAAATCCCAAAAAAATGGAACACCCCAACTCACAAAAGAAAGAATGCAAAAACAGTCGAAGATAGTGAGACAGTGAGACCCATTCTGGAAAAAATAGACGCCATCTCCGCATCCCCCCCCCCTCCGAAACCCCCCCACGGCGGTCCCCACCGTCGAGGCGACACTGACGAAGCGCACCTGGGCGCCTCCGACTCGTCGGTCGCCGGGAGGAGTGGTTGGGAGTAGGCCGGGGGAAGGCCTTCGGAGAGTGCGAAGGGGTGGATCTTCTGGTTCCGGCCACTTGAGAAAGCCCCCCGGAAGTAGACTTCGGCACCCCCGTACTGGCCAATTGCTCCGGTCCAGGAAATTGAACGACATACCACCGTATGGGTCGAGGAAGTCTTCATCTCATGTTCCAATGTCCGCACTTGCCAGTGTTGGGCCTATGTGAGACGCTACCTCAACCCCCCCTGGCAAATGAAAACACGACTAACCCACGTGTGGCAATCAGCAAATGAGCTTCACTCTTGAATACACCAAGCAATCCCTAGTGCATATAGAGATCTTCCCCAAATGGACTTTGGCTCTGGCTATCTCAAGACGTCCCGCATGACAACATCTCCGGCGCAACACCCCAAAAAAACTCACAGACCCATTGCAGGTTTGCATGTCAGTGCCCAAGAAGCAGCCTGATCACCCAAGAACTCTTGCACCTCACCTTCGATTCAAATTTTGGGAACCCAAAAATGATAGATGTCTTGGAGAGATTAAAACCTCACCATCACCAACATGCCATAACATGCCTCACCATCACCAACCGCTCAAGACTCACTCGCTCTACCCCTCCTCACCGGGAGGAGGAGCCGCACCTGCGGCCTGTTGGAGCTCTTCTCTCGCCCAAGACTCTAAGGCAGCCAAGGACAGGGCAGCGTCCTCCACGAGAAAAGCGGTCATGACGGCTCTGGGGAGCGGGGGAGCCCGGCATGGTCTCACTTGCTGGACCGCAAGTTAAGTCCATCCCAGTGAAGGAAGGACAGGGTTTGCTCGTGCGTCTTTCAAAAACAGAAGGCGTTTGAGTCAGCCAGAGGATGTTCGAGTCGGTGAAAAGCCAAAGCAATGATGAAAAGAGCGTCGGACCAGGCCAGGCTGCTCGCACAGAGCGTGTGGCCAGGCCAGGCTGCTCGCCCGGGATTTTATTATAATATAGTCCCGAGTCGTCTTGAACCTTCTTTTTTGGTGAGAGTGGTGCAAGGTGTATGTCATCCGAGAAATAGGACCAAGTGTTTGGATAGCTTGCAAAGTTGCGTAAATCCAAAGTTCACCTGGGAATTCGTCAGGTTGCTAGTGGCTGGTGGCTCATGTTGCAGGCCGCACTGCCGCCATGGCAAACTCGCGGCGCTCCTTCTTGCTCCGCCCACTGATGGGAATGAAGACACATAGATGAGTTCCTAGGCGCGCTGGTTTGGTCACGCGGGTTGACTCCTGGGGCGGCGACCCCGACAGAAGTGCTTCACCCCTGTACATGGCTGGAAGCCGTGAACTTGGACACCTCTAAATCAGCCAGGCTGGCAATTCTACATTTTTGTTATGGAAGGTCTCTGGTTGCCAAATGACCTAGTGGATTGTCCTCTCCGATTTCTTGATCAAACGTGGGGAGGCCTCGTAGACCTCTTGCGTCACTCGGACGAAGCGCTCCGCGTGTGGCTAGGGCGGCGAACGGGTGCAAACCATAGACCATGTCTAAAGGTGATCAAGATCAAGCACCTGTTGCGCTTGTGCCTGTAAAACTTTGTAGCGCTCTGACATCCACACGGTGGAAAGCGGCGGTTGCATCAGCATGCATCAACTACAACAGCACCAGTCAACAGTCACTTCATTCCCACCAATTCAAACCAAAACGAGCTACGCTGTACCCGGTTACCCAGCTCTACCAGCGCTACCAGCTCTATATCCAGCTCTACCCAACCACCTCTACCCAATCACCACCACCCACAGCACCCAGCTCTTCCACTTCCAAGGTACGCGTGGGAGAGAAGCCGACCGTGCCCATCAGGGCCGCAACAGCGCAAAGCAGCCGTAACCTCGAGCGGTCAGCCACCGCCCGGGTGCGTCGAACTGCCAGGTGGTTTTGGGAGGCTGAGGAGTTCAGAGTGTTGGTCGGGTGAAAAGGTGGTCCTTTTCCGTTGTACCAAGAAGGTGAAGGAAGCGTCACCGGTGTTTTCCGGAAGTGGTTTCTTGTTCGGATGCGTCGCATTCGTGGGTCCCGAGGAAGTTCGATGTTCACACAGACAAAATGGCGGGAAGTGATGGTGCTTTGGCGGCGGATCGTTGAAATCCACGTGTCAGATGGATGCGCGCGGGGTCTTTCCCAATTGAAACACCGCCGTATCCGCGTGGCTACCCTATAGCATCCTTGAAAGAATCCAGTGAGCTGTTAAAATCCTTAATTATTATATAGACAACAAAAAAGTAGATCCCCATTTGAAATGTAT